TACAGTCCCCCTGAGGTACAAGCCACAGGCCCACCAAATTATTTGGTGTAACTCTGTACTTTAAGAGCCTGGAGGGAGTAACCAGCTGGGGGAGGTACAGTTTCTAAACAGGACTTAAGGCAGAAAGCCACTGAAGACTTGCCACAGTTTATTGACAGAGTAAACAAGGTGGTAGGAGGGAAGGTGTCTCATGAAGGAGCTAGAACAGCTCTAGCCAAGAATATCATCTGGGATGGACGAAATAAGGAACATAGAGCAGAAGTAGTGCCAGTACGCAATGGCACACTGGATGACTGGATTTTGGTCACCTAGGATAGAGGAACACAAACAGCTCAAGCCACTCTGCTGGCCTTAGCCATGGCATCTGTATAAGAGTAGGACTAAGGAGACTTGCAGACAGCTAATCAGAGACTGCAAAACATGTGCACCATTTTTCCCATTGGCCCTTTATAACCTGCTGGAGTGACTCCCTGAGAGTTAAAATCTAATGTTTATGGCAAATGGATGTCACTCATTATGCACCTTTTGGAAATTTAAAATATATTCATGTAATTATTGATATCTATTCAGGCTGTGTAATGGCCACAACCTCCACAGGAGAAACCACAAAAACATTTATTAAAATGTTTTGAAATTATGGATGTTCCCATGTCTATTAAAGCTAAAAATGGGCAAGCCTACCCTAGAAAGACATTACAAGGAGTTTGCAATAATTGGTATATGTAGCTTTTACCTGAGTTCCCTATAACTCCAAGACTCAAGGGGAGAAACTATACCAAGTTCTCTCGCGATGCCTTGACAAAAACCTTATTTTCTTTAAATTTAAAAATATTCTATGGAAATAACAGTGCATAAGCATCAGTCCTCCCTAACTGGGCCTTCCCATCTACCTATGGTCTCATGGAAGGACCCCATAACAAATGCATAGGATGGTCTGGGGACCCTCCTAAACATGGGTGGAGGGTTTACATATGTTTTTTTTAATATTTATTTTTTAGGTTTAGGTGGACACAATATCTTTATTTTATTTTTATGTGGTGCTGAGGATCGAACCCTCATCATCACTGGGATTATTGCCCTGGTAGCCTCTGTCGCCTCATACATGCCAGGCGACAGTGCTACTATTTGATCCATATCCCCAGCCCCATACATATGTTAACAGGAGCATCACCCCATTTGGGTGGCTGCCAGAAAGTCAAGCCCCAGATCCCCAGAACCACCAACCAAGAAGATGAAGGAACCAATACTGGAGGAGAAACCTCACAAGCAAAGTCTCAACAAGGCAAATGCACCTCACGAAAAGTAACCTGGGGTAATAGTAAAAGTCTTGTTGACCAAGCCACCAGACTGGCCCTTTGCCTGGTGGCAACCCCATCCCTGGCCATATGATGGTGGTTCTATAGGGTGTGGCACTCACTGTTAACAGTGAAGCC